TAGGGCAGCACCTCGTCGTAGCTCCAGCCGTGGTTGCCCCGCTCCGCCCAGGCGTCAAAGTCGCGTCGATTGCCGCGGTTGTAGATCATGAAGTTCATGGAGCTGGTGCCGCCCAGACCCTTGCCGCGCGGCAGGGCGCACTCGTGGTTGTTCATGCCGCGACAGGCGAGCCGCTGCGGCACCGAATGATAGTTCCAATTGGAGGCAGTCAGCTGCAGCTGTCCAGCCAGCACGGGCGTCAGGTGGGCAATGTTCTCGACGCCGCCCGCCTCGATCAGGGCCACGCGCCACTGGGGATTCTCGGAGAGTCGCGCCGCCAGGGTGCAGCCAGCGGCGCCAGCTCCCACCACAATAAAGTCGTAGCTAGCCGAGTTCCGAGGCACTGCGAATAGTTGCTCTCAATAGGGCGGGGCATTCTTCAAAGATGTGTTGCTGTGGTTGCTTAACTCACCATTCGGGCGCACCTGCTGCTCCAGCAAGTTGACGAGACCCAGTTCCCTCAGCTGCTGGATGAGCCGCGGCTCAGCCAGAGAAGCCACAAAGTGTGTTGTTAGCAGTGCCAAAAGCAACATTTTACTGATGCCACTGACTGGGAGATTAAGCTTTATAAGTCTGAGACCTGAGTAAGGCTCCCGGATCGCAGCAGAGCAGGTCTGAATTGCGTACTCGCATTGTTTTCGGTCTCTCATAAAGTTCAAGTGGAAACGAGCGTTAAATAGCCCATAAACACGATAAGGGACTCCTCTTCCCAAAAGCCCACCAATTGTTGCGAGGTATACGAGTTAAAGAATTCTAATAAAGCGAGGCCCCGAAGGGCACATACCACATACCCCACATAAACGAAATAAATAGGAACCTGTATCGAATAAATTTAATATAAACCTGTATGCCGGCATACCAATTTCATTGCATCAATTATTAAATAGGTTTTATTTTATGGCTAAATGGAATGTGCAGGAAATGTCATGGGGTATACGGATCTTACTAACTAACGGCACATTAATGCTACAGAGCCAAATGTGCCTCCAGTGGGAGGGTCGTGCAGGGTATGTTTAATGGCCTAATATATGCGACGATTGAACAATTTCACTTTTTAATTGACGCGGGTTCATTTAACTTACAAACAAAATTAAAATTACTCATTACCAAAAAAAAAAAAAAAAAAA